TTTGCTGGATTTTTTGCCTTCCTCTGGATCAACTGTGGGTGTAGGATTATAACTTTTTTTTAATTACAAAATACAGATGTACTGGCAAATGTTTGTTTTCATTCTAGAATGTCACTAAATAAATAAAAGTGAGCCCCATCCACAAAAAAAAATTCCATACCAAACCATCACCTGAGCATACAGCCTGGCTAGCCAGGAAAGAAAGGGGGGAAGGCGAGGACTTCCCACCCCCCTTGAACCATATCAAGCCAAATGCCCTCAGAATGAGGGGCCTTACAAGGGAGGAACGTCCTTGGCAAAACACCTTGATGTGGACAACCACTTCTTCCCCACAATCCTGGCCAGTGGATCTTGGGGTCTGTAGGTGGAGTCCTATAATGTAAATTCATTGTCAATCATGTCAGTCAGTGATGCAGATCCTTGTCAATCACAATAAATGATGCTGCTGAAACAAAAAAGGTGACCTGCCAACATGTCTGCTTCAGTTGCTATTTTCATCAAATGCTTCTCGGCTGACAGCTGGTTTGTAAAAAAAGGGAGAGATGGTAGCTGATTTCATTGACCTGATATAATGTCCATGCCTAAATATGGCCATGTGATTAACCTAATATGTCCATGGTCATTGTCAGTAATATCATCTACCATATGCACTACTTTTTTTAAATTCGGATGTCAGCCAATAATCCAATAATTCATAGCTGAATGGCTGGGTGTTAATGGTTGCTTGCAAGTCAGAGGCCACTAGTTCTTTTAATAACCATCCTGAGTGGGACGTTGTCAGAGGACTGGCAATCACCCCATTTAGTTTCTACTTTGGTCCAAACCATTTGGTAATCTGTTGTAGAGGAGGATGAACCAGCATGGACCCTAATTGTCCCCTGTAGATATGCCTTGACTTTTGGTCACAAGACATCCAAGAGGACAACCCAGGATTTTCTACAGTAATGGAATTTCATCCTCTTTTTTTTTTTTATTTATATACACTATATTGCCAAAACTATTGAGACACCCCTCTAAATCATTGAATTCAGGTGTTCCAATCACCTCCATGGCCACAGGTATAAAATCAAGCACCGAAGCATGCAGACTGCTTCTACAAACATTTGTGAAAGAAAGGAGCTATGTGAATTCAAGTGTGGTACCATGATAAGTTGCTTACCTGTGTAAGTCCATCCTGAAATTTCCTTGCTATTAAATGTTCCATGGTCAACTGTTAGTGGTATTATAACAAAGTGGAAGCAACTGGGAACAACAGCAACTCAGCCATGAAGTAGTAGGCCACGTAAAATGACAGAGCGGGGTCAGCGTATGCTGAAGCGCACAGTGCGAAGAAGTCACCAACCATCTGCAGAGTCAATAGCTAAAGACCTCCAAACTTCATATGGCCTTCAGATAAGCACAACAACAGTGCGTAGAGAGCTTCATGGCATCGGTTTCCATGGCCGAGCAGCTGCATCCAAGCCTTACATCACCAAGTGCAATGCAAAGCGTCAGGTGCAGTGGTGTTAAGCACATCACCACTGGAGTCCGGAGCAGTGGAGACATGTTCTCTGGAGTGACGAATCATGCCTCTCCGTCTGGCAATCTGATGGATATGTTTGGGTGTGGCGGTTACCATGACAACGGTACTTGCTTGACTGCATTTTGCTATGTCTAAAGTTTGGTGAAGGGGGGATTATGGTGTGAGGTTGTTTTTCAGGGGTTGGGCTTGGCCTCTTAGTTCCAGTGAACGGAACTTTTAAGGCATCAGTATACCAAGACATTTTGGACAATTTCATGCTCCCAACTTTGTGGGAACAGTTTGGGGATGGCCCTTTCCTGTTCCAACATGACTGCACACCAGTGCACAAAGCAAGGCCCAAAATGACATGGATGATTGAGTTTGGAGTGCAGGAACTTGACTGGCCTGCACAGAGTCCTGACCTGACCCAATAGAACCCTTGATGAATTAGAGCGGAGACCTCACAAATGCGCTTCTGGTCAGACATTCCCATAGACACACTCCTAAATCTTGTGGACAGCCTTCCCAGAAGAGTTGAAGCTGTTATAGCTGCAAAGGGTGATTCAACTCAATATTGACCCTACAGACTAAGACTGGGATGCCATTATGTGCAAGTCCCAATACCTTTGGCAATATAGTGTATCTAACGTATCTAGCATTGACATCAAACATAGCTTTAAAGTATAATCATTAAAATTTAAATTAAGCAATTAACATGTTAATGTAAGTCATTTTTTATATTTTCAGCAGTGATAAATGATAACATGGGATTGCTGAACTGTAATGACATGACATGCAAAGGTGTAAGACCTCAATTGGGCTTTATAGAAAATACGGTATATTAAATTGACTAAACTCTGGTTTAAAGAAGATGTTATTCAAGTATGTATTCTTAACTCAAAAAGTACTGCTTTGATCTGACTTCCAATTAGAGGGTTACTATGTTCAGGGGCCCCACTGTATGTAGGAATGTAGCCACCCTCTCTTGTTTGCTCCTCTGAGATGGATGAAGCTAAAGTTGTGATGCAGCAATAAACATATGTTGTTTGTCATTACCTAGGCCTTTTATTTGTGATAAGTAAAGAATTCTGTGATTAATGGGCATCTGAAACAACTATTAGAGAGATAGGAAAAATAGCAATGAAAAGCCATTCTGGGCTAATATGTCATTGTGGCCCATTTGTAGCTAACTAAATTCCCTAAAGGATATTTTAGCAATGTGCTGATTTAGTAGAACAACTTCATGATAAATTCCACATGGCATTAATGCTTTTGTATAAAAGATTGAAAGGTAACATTCTACAAACTCAAGCTGAATCCCTCTTTTCTATCATGAAAACATAGCTAAATATAGAATTCTTTAATTAAGCAGTATAAAGGAATTGGTAACACAGGTACATTGGAAGATTCAAATAGGCTGAATTACTCACCTACATTCTCCTGACAACATTCATGAGAATATTTTTGGGTAAATATGATTGTTTCATCTGATGACCAGACACAAGTAATGTATGAAGTGGAGGCCCTTGCTTGATTATTGCTCCAAGCCCATGACAGCTATAATTAAAGGACAACTGCACTCCTAGAATCTCAGGTGCTCCTTTGTTCACCCTTTTTTCAGCCTCCTGTAATTCCTGGTCAATAAACATAGTATTGTGTATAATTCTTGAAGGCCACATGTACCAGCAGGCTAGGTCTGACTGGCTTATAGGAACTGCTATAGGTGAAGTTACACTAAGCTATATTCTCTGACCACTCAGAGGCAAGCATTACTCTACACTGACAATGATACAATATTTGTTGACATTTGTGACAGACAAGATGCAATGTGTGGTATATAATCAGTCCAAACATTGAAAAAGTCTCACAAGTGTGGTATTCCCATACTAGAGAGAAGTTGTAGAATATGCTATGGGGTGTAAATCTAAGTATACCCCTGCTGTGGGTGGAAATATCTTATTAACCTGACAACTTTGTAAAGAAAAATACATTTTCATTCTCTTTCCACATTTTTTAAAAACTTGTGGCAAATGTTTTTTTTTTTAAAGATTCACTATACCTCTTAGTAAATTCCCTGGACAGTCTACTTTGCAAAATGTGGTCATTTTGTGGCTGTTTCCCCTGTCCTGCTACTCCAGGGCCTCCAAAAATAGGATAGGTAGGCAGGAAATCAGTTGAGAAATGTATGCTTTTTGTAAGACTCTCAGTGATTAATATTCCTGGCTATGGTCTCTTTCAGAGAGACAGGGTAAACTGAAAAGGTGGTAGTGTTTGTCTCTATGTGAGAAGTGACCTCAAAGTGAGTAGGAAAGAGGACCTTGTTTTGGGATAGTGTGATGATGCTGAAGCATGGAGTTGCATCTGTGTATGTGTACTTCAAAGTTAATTACTGGAGTTTGTTTCAGGCCACCGAGTGTTAGTGAGGAGACAGAGACTCAGCTGCTTGCACAGATAGAAAGGGCTACAAGGGCTGGGACAGTAATAATAATGGGGGATTTTAACTTTCCTGAAATTGACTGGAGTGCTGAAACAGTAACAGGGCATAAATCTATAAATCTGTTACAAGACAATTTTGTGGTACAGTTCATAGAAGCCCCAACAAGAAATTATGCTCTGCTGGACCTAGTAATATCAAACATGGTGGAGCTTATTACTAATGTAATTCATCTGAACAGTGGTGACCATTAGCTGTAAGCAACAAGCACATACAGGAAAAATAAAAAAAAATTAATTTTAAGACAGTCAAGTTTCAAAAGCTAGGGGCTGCTCTCCAAGATTTAGACTGGGAAGAATTGTTGTCATTAAAGAACACAGAACAGAAAAGGCAATGCTTCAAGTCAACTGTCTGCAAACCGACTGCTAAACATATTCCCAAGGGCAAGAATTTTAAAAGGCTAAAAGTAAAACCTAATTAACTCTTATCCAAAGTTAAAATAGCTATAAATAATAAGAAAAAGAGCATTTAAAAGAATATAAAAAAATATAAAAATGAAGGAATGCTATCATCATTTAAATGAAGAATATACTGTATTTTTCGCTCCATAAGACGCACCTGACCATAAGATGCGCCTAGGTTTTAGAGGAGAAAAACAAGAAAAAAAATATTCTGAACCAATGGACTGCAGAAATAGTACAGGAGATGACCAGAGACTGCGGACACAGTACAGGAGATGACCAGAGACTGCGGACAAAGTAAAGGGGATGGCCAGAGACTGTAGACATAGTACAGGAGATGACCAGAGACTGCGGACATAGTACAGGAGATGACCAGAGACTGCAGACAGTACAGGGGATGACCAGAGACTGCAGACACAGTACAGGAGATGACCAGAGACTGCAGACACAGTACAGGAGAAGACCAGAGACTGCGGGAGAAGACCACAGTACAGTACAGGGAATGACCAGAGACTGCGGACAAAGTACAGGGGATGACCAGAGACTGCGGACACAGTACAGGAGATGACCAGAGACTGTGGACACAGTACAGGGGATGGCCAGAGACTGTAGACATAGTACAGGAGATGACCAGAGACTGCAGACAGTACAGGGGATGGCCAGAGACTGCGGGCACAGTACAGGAGATGACCAGAGACTGCGGACACAGTACAGGAGATGACCAGAGACTGCGGACACAGTACAGGAGAAGACCAGAGACTGCGGACACAGTACAGGAGAAGACCAGAGACTGCGGACAAAGTACAGGGGATGATCAGAGACTGCAGACATAGTACAGGAGATGACCAGAGACTGCGGACATAGTAGAGGTGATGACCAGAGACTGCAGACAGTACAGGGGATGACCAGAGACTGCAGACAGTACAGGGGATGACCAAGAGACTGCAGACAGTACAGGGGATGACCAGAGACTGCGGACACAGTACAGGAGATGACCAAGAGACTGCAGACAGTACAGTGGATGACCAAGAGACTGCAGACAGTACAGGAGATGACCAGAGACTGCAGACAGTACAGGAGATGACCAGAGACTGCAGACAGTACAGGAGATGACCAGAGACTGTGGACCTTTGGGGAGGGAGGGGGAGTGGGTACCTGTATTTGACAGGTACCCGCTCCCACTTCCGCAGAGCTGTCCTCCCTTTAGTATGGGCACCCGGCTGTGACAGGAAAGGGGTTTAACATGCCGGTCTTCAAGTGATGTACAATGGTAGTGAAGTAATTATCTTCAACTCCAGTTAAAATACATATACAGGAGCTTTATTACACGCCAAAGGATTTATATTTCTATTCCTGCCCTGTGATTTACAAAGCCTTACTACACAGTACAGTGGCGACATAACTTTGCTATGTTAAAGTGTAAGTTCCTTTTTAAGAAAAAAGGTGGACTAACATTGTACATTCCCCTCTACCTCCAGTCCCTGCTGTAATTACCTTCATGAGTTATGAGCTGTCAATGCCCATGCATCCAGTGCAGCTGTTCAGGGATTTAAAATCCGTGATCTTCTTCCTCATTTTTTGCAGAACTTCCAGGACAGATCAGAGTGATTCTGAATGGTTAGCGCCAGCACAGGGAATCACACTGATCAATCCTGGAAGAGCTGCACAGAGAAAAGGGTGAAGAGTGAATCCCTGGACCATTACACTGGCTGCGTGGGCACTGACAGCTCACCAATCACAGAGGTAAATATAGCAAAGAAGAGGGAGGGGGGTGGGGGTGAGGGTGTACAGTGTTAGGTCGCCTGTAATTTTTTTTCTGAAAAGGTGAACAATCCGTATAAGCAATATAGCCTGATCAGCTCCCTGTTCCATTCCCAGCCTGCTCTTGAAAAGTGAAAGAGCAACAAAAAACTGATGCTTTCATCCCACTGCATTCTCCTGATAACAAAAAGCTAAAAATCAAGTAAGATTCAGGTATTTATGCTAGATTAAATTAAAATAAATTTACAGATTTTTAACACATAATTGTAGCATTTGTGTTTTTGTAATATATGTATAGATTTCAGCATTTCTACCAATTTCTATAACACTGAAACAAACGTAATACAACAGCAGTAAAACATAAGGTTATTTTTTTTTTTTTGCTAGATATAAATTGATGATTTAGCTGTCTGGAGAGTATTTACACAATAAGAATTTGACAGGGGTTGTTTGCTCTGTGCTCTGCAGCTGTGTAGAATATGAACCAATAAATAAATTGGTTTCTGGATGAAATGCAATAAAACTGGTCTCTCTCTTGGGGGAGTGGTGATCTCATCTAAGTGATGTTCTTCTAGACTTTTATTTTGCTTACAGGGAAAAGCTAGGTTCTAGCAGCAAGTGATTGTAAAGTAGGCAAATGGTATCAATACTGACTAGAATAAAGGTAAATGATAAACTGTATAAAATATGCAAAGTAATTAGAATCTATGGCAAACACATCACCTCCAGGCATGGAACCACTAGGCCAGTGGTCGGCAAGCCGCGGCTCGCGAGCCACATGCGGCTCTTTACACGCTTTAATGCGGCTCTTGTGTGCCGGGCGCCCGCTCCCCTCCCTCCTCTCGGGCGGCAGGGACTCTGCAGCGTGATCCAAAAAAAAAACAGCCAGGGCAGCGCGCTCAAATGCAATGATTGGCCAGTCTCGCTGCCACTCACATCCTGATAGCCAGTGATTGGCTGTCAGGATGTGTGTAGGCGGGGCAGCGTGACGAACGTGAGAGGAACTAGGCTCCTCTCACAGTCCGCCCTGAAGACCGGAACGGTGCGGGAACACGGCGAGAGGAACGCGCGGAGCAAAGGTAAGTGAATTGACACAGGGGGGACTTGGCTTACTACTTGCTACTTACTTACTACTACTATATGAGGGATGAATTAATATGGGGGATGAATTACTATGGGGGATGAATTACTATAGGTGGGATGAATTAATATGAGGGGGGATGAATTAATATGGGGATGAATTACTATGGGGGATGAATTACTATGGGGGATGAATTACTATAGGGGGATGAATTACTATGGGGGATGAATTACTATATGGGGGATGAATTACTATGGGGGATGAATTACTATATGGGGGATGAATTACCATGGGGGATGAATTACTATGGGGGATGAATTACTATGGGGGATGAATTACTATATGGGGGATGAATTACTATATGGGGGATGAATTACTATATGGGGGATGAATTACTATATGGGGGATGAATTACTATGGGGGATGAATTACTATATGGGGGATGAATTACTATAGGGGGGATGAATTACTATGGGGGATGAATTACTATATGGGGGATGAATTACTATATGGGGATGAATTACTATGGGGGATGAATTACTATATGGGGGATTAATTACTATATGGGGGATGAATTACTATATGGGGGATGAATTACTATATGGGGGATGAATTACTATGGGGATGAATTACTATATGGGGGATGAATTACTATGGGGGATGAATTACTATGGGGGATGAATTACTATATGGGGGATGAAATACTATGGGGGATGAATTACTATATGGGGGATGAATTACTATATGGGGGATGAATTACTATGGGGGATGAATTACTATATGGGGGATGAATTACTATATGGGGGAATGAATTACTATATGGGGGATGAATTACTATATGGGGGATGAATTACTATGGGGGATGAATTACTATATGGGGGATGAATTACTATATGGGGGATGAATTACTATGGGGGATGAATTACTATAAAAAACTTATTGAAACTAAAAACAGTGTACCATCCTATGTATTTTCAGTTTTAAAAATGTGGCTCTCAAAATAAATTTCAATCGTGGTTTTGGCGAGATTTGGCTCAGTTGAAAAAAAAGGTTGCCCACCACTGCACTAGGCTATACAACATAAACCGCGGGCACATTTGTGCACCCAGGAGATACAGCTGCAGCATACTGCTGTCTATAGTAAAGAATGGCTTTTCTTGCATAAACTCATGCACAGGTGTAAATCCCTGAAAATCCAGCTTGTGTAGTTCCAGCGATGTGTGTGCTTATGCAAGTTGTAGTTCAGGCAAATGATTCCCCCCTCCTTTGCCAATCTGGACTGGTAACAAGCAGTATACACTGTTCATGGTGTCTCAACTGTTGTCCTGTACTGTTTAACAAAAGGAAGGGGAAAAAATGTACTTGCACAGGGACCCTTTGTCTGATACTGTGGGGTGTGTTGCCCAGCTTTGCATTTTGCAGCTCCTCCTGTTGAAGTGTACAGACCTGAGAACTGAAGCAGAGATATCTCACCAATTGTGTCCCTGAGAGGTATGAGAAATTGTCATGTGGTTTGCAGCTGAACTCCGCAGAAAACAAAAAACATCTCTTGCACTGGATCTCCCCCTGCACTGCAAGGTATAAATGCTTGTTTATGCCTAGGGCACCAGTAAAAATGATTTTTTACTTACCTGATCCCCCACTACCCCAGCTGCTGGTGCTCAACTCTTCGCCCTGGTGATTGTGCTTGTGGGCAGGCCCTTGGTATCATTTTATACAATGCAGAACTACCGGTCCTGCATTGTACTTGAAGATGTCAGAGGGCCTGCGACTGCTGGAGTGCCTTGGAGAACAGACAGCAGCGGCCGATTACATGGCATGGAGCAAACCTGAGGGAGCGAGGGATGGGGTAAGTAGAAGTCTGTTTTACTGGTATCCTAGGCATAAACAAGCATTTAACCTGCCAGTGTGTGCAGCACCCAGTTTTTTTCACCTTCCCAGAATTCAACTTTAAACATCCAAAATCTACCATAATTGGAATATTAGTTTTTGGTGGATGGCCGTTTAAATAAAATACATTGATGGAAACTGATTAACATAGGCAACAGCTTTCCCTTCTTTTTTTCTCCTCTCTTAACCAATACTTTCAAAAGTGGAAATATATTTTTATGATTTTTATAAAAAAACAAAATACTTACTGCAACAGCTTCTAAAATCTGTTTCACAGCATCAGCAGCATCTCGCTCGCTGTAATATCCCTTTTCCACAATCCTGTAAAAAACACAAGAGACATGTCTTACATAAAGTATAACTAGTAAGTGAAGGTTATATGTACCATAGCTTGGCTAGTTCAACAATGGGTACACAATAATAGCTTGACCAGGAACCAGCTTCCTTCAGTGGCAATGGCAGGCGATTGAAATGCTTGGACTATATTGGCCTAAACTGACCCTTATACGGCAGAGCAGCTGCACCTCCTGCAGTTCCAGTGACAGGGCCGTCTGCTGTCATGAATGTGCCAACATATCAATACTTTACAGGAAAACTAAATTTTACAGTTATTTTGTATGGCACTTAAAGTGGAAATTCATAACAAAATATTTTTGGTTGAAGTTGGGGGGAGGAGGATTTAGAACACATTTTATTAGTTATTTCCTGTCCCATAGGCAAAGAGGGAATTGTAGAAAATCTCTCTAAAGTTACCAGAAAATCTGTTTTTTTTTTCCTGCACCTGATGAAAATTAGTGCAACACAGTCCATTTGTCTTTAGTAAATCCACCCTGTGTTTTGTTTTTACTGTGTGCATAGCCCTTTCATGTGCAGCTTACTCTATATATTTTAGTTCAACAAAACATGTATCCGTGGGGAGAGTCCCCTCTAATTCCTGTTCTGTGGACAACTGTCAAACTGCAGATTTTATTAACTCCCCCACCCCACGCATTTTTTATTAATGTTCCTTACCATGATGCCCAATGCTGCAGTTACAATAATAAGCATCCACATCCTTACAAGAAAGTATCTGACACTTTTATAGAATGCTCACTGACAGGTGGGTTCCCCACTGACCATCATGACCCAATCAAAGTGATTCCTGCTCATTGGCCCCATGCCAACTCTTACATAGTGATCACATGGATGCTGGAGGTTTCATTGACAAAAGCGACAACATTTTCAGCCTGCAGGTGAACACTGACCCCTTCAGTGTTCATCTGCAGTGCTAGGTTTTTTAGATTTCAAATCTGAGATACAAATACACAATTAACAATGATAATGATAATTTAAATAAAAATTAGGGAATTTGAAATAAGCAAGTAACTGCAAGATGTAAAATACTCAGTACTGAACAAATTTGATTATTAAAGGTTAATTCTTTTGAACAGGATTAAATACCTTAGAATAACACATGAAAATTCAAGTGTGCTGTCCTAATCTATTAGCAAAAGGAGAGTGGCGGACTTAAAGTGTATGTAAACCCAAGCAATGAACTTATCTTACTTGTTCCATTTAGGTCTTTTAAATATACTATTAGAAGCATTTTGTTATATATATTTGATAAAAGCAAATAATTGCTGATATTGTTAGAAATTCACTTTCACAGTGTTTCCCTGCAGCTCCTTTGATCTATTGAAGCCACAGTGAAATACACAATAATACCATGTGTGGGGAGCATGGGATCTCCTCATATGAAGCATTGTTCTGGGCCAATAGTCTGTCCCAAACATTGTGATATAAGGGAAAGGATGACATCATCAACCCTGCGTAAGCTCCATCCAATACAAAGCTTACATACAGTAGGGTTAAGATGGCAATGGTGCTTGTGAAAGTTTGGGAAATTAGTATTGAATGGGCAGAACAACAGATTCTCTTAACATTTACTAGAAGAAATCCCAGTGATATTTTCTACAGTACTTTGTTATAATAAATTAGTTACCAACTATTTCATTTACTGTACCTATATTTAATAAACAAGAGGCCCTATATAAAAAGATGGATATTTTAAAAAAGAGAATATGGGCATAAACAATAGTTTATATAAATTGGCCAAAAATAAGCATACTTTGGTGTTCCTCGGGACATTCAAGTGGTTAGAGCTAGATACATTTCAATTAAATTGCTTAGTGGAGCACTTTGACTACTCAGTATGAGGCTGATAATGTACATTTTATGGCAATCAGTCACTCAAGAAAAGATAAAAAGCATATTGATTAAAGGCAGTGTACTTCCACTAAAGCACTCCTGATTACATAGCTATTGCTCTGTATAGAAATGTTTTTAGATAATATAACATATCAAATGTTTATTTTAATAGTATGATAATGCGTCATAAATCCTAAACTCTGCTAAGGACTCTAATAGCTGTATAAAAAAAATATTAAATTAGTCTTAACAAACCCCTAAAACTTTGTAATGTAGTAGAGAACAGGCATAAAACATGATTTACCTACTGCATGTGCCTGCCAAGGATAGCGAGTCTCGGCGTGCAATAATGAGACTCACTAACCAGCATATGTAGGTGAGTAAATTGGTATGCTGCATAATTTATTTCCAGCAATACTGCAACAGTAGCCACACAGAGAATCCTTTATATATACTTGAACTGAGGGCGGGTAGAACCACTTTGTAAAGCTCACTTTGCAATTACAATCTAACTTTACAGAATCCTTTAGATCTACCAACAGCTACTGTATGTTGTGAATTTAAATTTTAGAAACAGTTTATGGCCCTTATATTCATAGTTTTTGGTAAAACTAAAGGTGATTGTACATAAAGTGTATAGTCAGATTGTAACAAATATAGTGGACTTAAAGCCAAACTTTTGGTAGAATTAACTTCACAGGTTGCCAGAAGGTCAACATCTATGTCCTAAAAATTAGTTAGTTTACATGTCAAAAGAAGTACAGTAGTAAAAAAACCCACAGCTCCACAAGACAGCCAGTTTCACACATCTGTGCTTTGTCATAATTGTTGTGAAGAAGCACTGATGTGTGCAACTCATTAACTGGCTGTCTTGTGCAGCTGTGTTTTTGTCTTTTTACTACTAATATAGAACAAAGAAGTTTCCTTTTTGCCATCTTGGAGAGTGACCACCTTTCTTCTTTTTACTGAAAAAGTGGGTGGAGACAGGACCACTGCACTGGGGTCTACGAGACCTACAGCCAGAGCAGCCAGGAAGTACTGTGGACTGTGGACTTTTTGGACACAGGAATAAGGATGGTACTGTAGGTGTCTGGGCCTCAAAGTCTTATGGTAATTACATGTATTTCCTTGTATTGTATAGCCTAACATGTCTATAAAGTGGACATTTCCTTGCATTTTCATTTACCACCATTATATAAAGCCATCAAATTCTGCTCTACAATTTCAATCCTCACCTGTCAAACAGTTCTCCTCCTGTCACCAGTTCAAGAACAAGACTGATTTCTGTAGGGGTTTCAAAAATCTCCTTCAATTTGATCTGTAGGCGAATTATATTAAATATTAATACGAGATATGATTGTATCACACACTGATATGTATCTGCACAAAATGTAAGCCTTAAAAGCCAAGTATTTAAATTGATAGAACTTGTTCAAGAAAGGGATAGTTAACAATAAAAGAACATTTTTAGAAAAATATCTGATAAATAAACTTCTCAATGTCAAAAGTAACTAATCTGACTGCAGTACTGGATAAAGAGCAGACACTCATTCTTCCATATCACACTACAAATGGCTCTTACCTTTTAAAAGGCAAGAGAGTAGCAAACAAATTCAGTTGTATTAACAGAGGTTGAAACTTTTACAATAAAATCTTTGTATGTACCATAAAATCTTTTTTTTTCTTGGAGTCCAGTAAGGGACATATGAAGTTTTTAATCTTTGGGTTAAACTGCTGCCTACAGGAGTATTGAATGCTAGCAAAAAAAAAAACTATCCAGGACAAACAACACCGACTACGAGTAAGCTACAGTTTTGTAGCAAAGCAATATTAACAGCATAATCATAAACATAGAGGGGTTGGGCCTGTGTCCCTAAATGGACGCCAAGAAAAGGATTTTACAGTGAGTACAAATTCCCAGTTTATATCTCCTCCATTAAGAGACACAGGAAGCTTTTACACTTCAGGATTTTTAAAAGTGGTCCAACTGAGGGGTGGACAACATAGTAGACAAAAGCTAACATGCGCAAAAGAAAACCAAAACAGAACTGGGGACTGAAGAACCTTATGCCTGAAGCAGGCATCAGAAGAAGCCCAAAACATCCACCTGATAGAACTTACAGAATATGTGAACAGAAGAATAGGTGGTAGTTTTACATATCTGAGTAACAGGTGCCTGATGCCTGAAGAATAACTAACAGACCTGGTGCTCAGATCTTGATAGGAATGGGTGGAACCCAATCCTGGACACCATAATGATGATGGTCTGCCTCTGTCTAGCCCGAGATGGTGGAATGATAGCTGGTGTACCCTTTTGGGGTCCTCCAGAATGACAAAGGAAGAATCAGTCTTTATAAAAGATTAATTGGTTGAGAGATAGATTCCCACAGTCTGAACCACATCCAGACAATGAAGAGAAATCTCCTTTTGGTGAACTGGAACCAGAGAGACATAAGGCCAAAAGTCCTGGCTAAGGTGAAAGGTAGAAACTACAGCAGGCAAGAAGAAAGTGCTTGGCTTCAACATCACCTTGTCCCTATGCAAAACCATAAAGTGTTCCTTGCAATATAAGACCACCAGCTTAGATGATAGCTACAAAAAACACCATTTTGTGGGTGGGAGTGGAGAGAGGAATATCTCATGTGGGTTCAAACAGCAATCTCTGAAGCAGTAAGCACCAAATTCACTCCCATGGAGTCACAGGGAAACAGAAAGGTGGAGCTACAGAGGCGACTCCCTGCACAAAGGTCCTTATCAAACAGTGAGAGGCCAACGGCCTCTAAAACAGGACAGAAAACGGAGAAAAAACAGACCCTTGACAAGTGTTGAGAGGGAAATATGTCTACAGGCTGCAAATTTCAACACCATCAGTAAGCATGCTGCAAGAGCTCTCATGAAACATGGACAGATGGTAACACACTACCTAATGCTGTTGAGATTTTTTTCCCCCCCATTATAATTCCCATTATAAGTGGCTATTAACATATCTCCCCTTTCTTCCCTGCTCCTGTGATTCACTAACCATAAAAAAAGTCTTTAAGGAAGGATACCAGCACAATATGGATATCAAGAGCATGTGCAAAGCTTTTATTCAGCAATCACATCATTAAAACAGAAGCGACTTTTCGGAGCCTCGAAGGCCCCCTTCATCAGGCATGTGACGTCAATAGCCTGATGAAGGGGTCGTTGCTTGTTTTAATGATGTGATTGCTGAACAAAAGCTTTGGACCTGCTCCTGAGATCCATGGTGTGCTGGTGACATTCTCTTACTCTGATTACCTTCGGTTTCAGCCGATCATCACTGCAGCACCTCTTAACACCTACAGCTACTTTGCAGGAACGTGTGCATTGGGGGTAGTATGTCTGTTTCAAGGAATGATAAGCCCCGATAAAAGACCTAGAGGGCAAAATGTTCCCCTTGCCTAGCTGTGAATGTGGAATAAATTTGCTTAACCACAGGAGGAGCTGCTTTATTGTAACCCCCCTGTAACTGTAAAGTCTTACAATTACTTTAAAGTAGAGTTCCAGCCATTTTTGTGTTAGCAGCTACAAAAACTGTAGCTGCTGACTTTTAATCAATACACACTTACCTGTCCCGGAGTCCAGTGATGTTCTCACCCGCACGGTCCTTCCCCCCCCCCCCCCCAAAGATGCTAAATATGGCAGTGGAGGGTGGGAGGAGGCAAATAAATGGAGCTTCCACTTTTGAAAGGAACTCTGGTTTACATATAAATTTGGTGCAATGGAACTATAGTTCATTTAATGCTTATTGCTCTTTGAAACAACACTGTTCAGCTGTTCACTGGAGTAGGAATTGCTTGGACATGAGATTCTATCCATTCCATACCCTATTCAAACCAAAAAAAGTTTTGGCTTCAGATATATATTAAAGTGCACTATAATCTAAAAAAACCACTACCCCAAACAAGACATATCTTCTATTATACTAGCAACAGACAGATACCAATAGGTCTGTGAAGGTTTTCATTTATCCAGGTCATGATATAGCTAGTAGCAGTAAGTCATATATAACTGGACAAGCTCTGTAAATGTTGAGGAAAGTTCCTGACCTTCAGAACAAGTTACAGTAACAAGTCCAGTTTTGCATTGTATTGGTATTTGATTAGTCTCCCTTTGTAATGTACAGAGCGAACTATTGGCGCTTTACTGTATTAATATAATACTAGCTTCAGCTTCCTCCACTGAAAGGTACACATCTACCATTTCCCTGCAGATGTCTGGCCAGGGACAGACTCTTTTTCATAGTGAATGACAGCTGAGGGACTTCCCTGCTCTTTCAGCCCTGGATAGATCTGGTGGACTTGATTGGTGCTAAGATGTATTTATTGATTCTATTTATGTAATTAATGGAGTGTACAATACTTTGCAGAGAACAAAACAGCACTCATATTCTTTGCCTGTGCAATAGCCTATAATATAATGTCTCTAAAACTGTCGCATTCAGCTCTTTTTTGGGACAGTTTAAACAGATGTCAGTAAGCCAATATTTTCTCAAATATTGATTGATTTTCTTTTCTTTTGTATTTTAGACTCATATATCTATATATTCATATATTACTCTTGTTTGTTAAAAACCAACTCTAGCCCAAATTATTTTTGCATAATCTGGGATAGACTTGGGAATAGTTAATACTGTAAAGTTGTCGATTGTCGTTCATGACCCTCTCTATCTGTCCCTATGAAAGCAGGACAAGAAATTAAAGTGTTTGTCAGAAAGACATGAGTATTGTCTAAAACTGGTGCACTCAGAATCTGGTGCAGCTGTCCATGGTAGCCAGTCAGCTTCTAACTTCAGCTTGTACAGTTAAGCTTTGGCAATAAAATCTGGAAGCTGATTGGTTTCTAGGCAGAGTTCTTCCAGATTTTGCATTCTAAAGTTTTAGTAAATAACCCCCATAGTCAGCAATAAGTATTTTGTTGCAGTATCTGCCCCATATAATTATTTTCCCTCACTTCCTGTTACAAGGAAAGTGATGATAAATCTCCTCAATGGGCACACAGACTGCAAATATAAGCCAGTTATAAGTTTTATCCATTGCGCACACTGTCAAAAACAGGTTTGGCTGGAGTTCAACTTTAACATAACTATAGTTTAGGACTCTGTTTATTGCTATCTACTGACAATTGCAGGCAGGTGATGGCTAAATCGGGTTCCTTTCTTGTCAATTCCCAAAACCTGGAAAGGAGTAGATACTGCATTTACTGGAACCGATCCCCCATTTTTCTACTCTCCCACTGGCTTTCAGCTGCTGCAGGAGGAGAAAATATAGGTGACTGGTTCCAGTAAATGCCTCCCCCGCCACCCACTCTGTCCAGGTTACCCTTCCTTCTGCTCCTTGGGCCCCCTGTGTGCTCCCCTGGTCCCCATTTTTCCCCCACCACTGCCGGCTTCCCTTGCTCTCCTCTCCTGCTGGCTGCTGCAGGGGATCCATTCAGGATGGAAAGAAGGGGAAGGGGCCTGTAAATATGTAATTTCTTTTCTGAATAAACACAGTGAGTGATTGGTACTGATCACTCACCGTGTTCATTCATAACTGAAACCTAGTAAACTGTGTTCACTATGCTTCAGTTTGTGAATAAACAGTGAGACTGTTCAGAGCTCTTCCTGTTCATTCATTCTGTGCAGTTGAAGCTGCAGAGATGGAAACTGAGGACTGTGTCTCAAGAGTGAGACAATGCCCCCCCAACAGGGCTGTTAAAAAGTAAAACAAATAATAACAAAATAAAATACTAAATAAATAAAAGTGTTGTGCTGCTATTTGTTTTTTTATGATTACACACATAACACATGTCTGCAGCAGCTTATTATTCAGTATTTATTCAGCACATTGGCAGCGCACAATTTTTTTCTGTTTCATCAAAATAAAATAATAAACATAGAAAACTACGGACAACATCCTCTGCCCTACTGACACCAACCTCTGCCCTGCTGACACTGTCCACTGCTCCGCTGGCACTGTTCACTGCCCTACTGACACGATCCGCTGTACTACTGACCCTGTCCACATACCGTCCACTGCCTACCTGAGACTGTCCACTGCTCCATTGACTGCCACTGTCCACTTTTAAGCTAGGCTAAGTTTATATTTTTACAGTGACATCTGCTTTATTACATATTTCTGAGTTTTCCTTATGATTTAGTTAGGCCTTGCTAGTTAATGCCTTAAAAAAAGCAAAAAAAAAAAAAAAAAAAAAAGCTGCTGAATCCCAGTGATCTTTGATCAGAAGTATCTGAATTTGATTTGGTATCAGCTGTTTGCAGTCCCTGTACAGCAGAGCTCAGGTTGAGGGAGGGAGAAGATGCAAAATGAGCCAGTTAGCTGTGCTGCAAAGTTCATGTGCTAATAAGAATATGCTGATAGGAAGAGAAAAGTAGGATGACAGAGAGATGAGCTCATCAGTGTGCTGCTTTTTTTTCACTATTCAATCACATACTATCACATACTGGGGAAGCACAAGATTTGCAAGTGTTACTTAAAGTGTTTCTAAACCCAGGACCCTGCATTTATTATATCCCACGGTACACAGAGCATGGAAATGCAATAAACGTAAACTGCTAAATACCCTTTTCTCATCAGCAGTTAGAGCAGTCTTGTGACTTCTATCAGTGTCCAACAGAGCACTGGTTACAGTTTGAAGGAGTTTTCATTCTCCTCTCACTGTCCTATGAGACTGCAGGACCCCTAACCCTCTGTCTGGACAGTGCTGATTAGCCCTGTGCTGATCACATGCACTCTCCCAAGAAAAAAAAACTCTCTAGCAATACATACTAAACTAAGCATGTGCAGCTTGCCCCCAAGGCTCTGTTCTTTCGGGAGATAGATTGGGTGACAGTAGAAGAAGGGGGGATCAGAGAAGACAGGATTAAACACACATTTTAAACAATGCAGAGGATTAACCCCTTAAGTTCCACAGTAAGTATAAGAAGCATGCTTTGCTGCATAGACAGACTGATTTTTTTTTGTGTGGTTTTAGTAGCACTTTTACTCCAGGAGAAAAAAAAATCAGGCTATTGCCCTGTCAGACAGGACTGTGCTGTTTGGAAGAGTTGGTTAAATATCAGGGCTAGAAGGATAGAAATACAGATTATCCTGCAGGTAAAACAGCTCCTTATATGTATTTAACATCTTTCCCCCTGCCCTATAGCAGAAATACTGCTATAGGGCGGCAGGGCTGCGCAAAGTCATGTATATATATGTGATTTGCATTTCTGGGTGGGGGGGGGCATGTGCCCCACCACTGGCGGCTACGGATCAATCACCGGGTCCCGGTCGGAGATTCCCAGCCAGCACCCGTCGATCGCCAAGTAACACTGACAAGGGAGAGACCTGTGTGTAAACAACGCAAGTCTCTCTCCTGCAAGCAAGAACATGTATAGCAGAGAGATACCCAGCAGCATATTTCCATAGTAAAACACACACAGCACATTATGTAAAACAGCACACATTTAACCCTTCGATCGCCCCAGATGTTAACCCCTTCCTGCCCCGTGTCATTAGTACAGTGTCAGTGTTTTTTATTAGCACTGATCACTGTATTAGTGTCATTGGGATGTCAATGGCAGTTAGTCAGTTCCCAGCCAGTGTCAGAATGCTCGCCGCAGTCATGCTATAAGTCACAGATCGCCGCCATTACTATTATAAAAAAAGTAAAAATTCCACTATATATACCGCCATTTGTAGATGCGATAACATTCACGTAAACCAATTAATTTACACGTATTGGGATTTTTTTTTAGCAAAGACATGTAGCAGAATACAGTTTGGCCTAAATGTATGAAGAAATTTCATTTTTTACATTTTTTACTGGATGTGTTGTATAGCAAAAAGTCAAAAATATATATATATTTTTTTTCAAAATTGCCATTCTTTTTTTGTTTATAGTGCACAGATGATCAAATACCACCAAAAGAAAGCTCTATTTGTGGGAAAAAAGGACTATAAATTTCATTTGGTACAGCATTGCATGATTGCGTAATTGTCAGTTAAAGTAACGCAGCGCTGTATCACAAAAAAATGGCCTGGTCAGGAAAGGGGTTAAATCCTCTGGAGGGCAAGTGGTTAATCTATAGTTAATCTATATATTTACCTGTTTGTTTGGAATTCACGTTTAAACTACAAACACTCATTTGTGGCTGAATAAAGTCCTAAAGCACTTGGTACATCTAATTTACCATAAAACCTATAAAAACCCGGGGACACTTTACAATCTGTTTGTGCTGTTGTTGTTGGTTGACCTAAAGGTGATGGTACAGAGACAGCAAAATCAGATTGCTATCTGTGGCCATCTAAGGCTATATACACACATCAATAGTTAAAGGCAAAACTGTGCCCTGTTATATATTAAAAAACAACTTCCCCTGCACTGAACAAGACTGGCAAAATTGTTTTATAGCATTTCTTGTTATTAATAAAAAACACTTACAATATTTGGATGTGAAAGGCGTAACAGTACACCGATTTCTGTTCGTACTATTTTCTTGTCTACCTAAAGGAATAAAGAAAGATGTAAGCAAAAACTCCTATAATCAGTGAATCAGTGACAGTGATAACTACTTGACAGCCAACTGGTGATACCCATTAAAAATACATAAAACAGAATCCCATTATTCCAACAGTAGCAAACAATCTGAGCATCCAAGTCTACAACCTAAAACAGAATGTCTGTAAAAATGCAAAAGATAAAGATGAGTAGACTAATAAAAGGGGTCTACTGTGTTTAACAATGTTTTCATTTAAGATTCACGCAATGTTCATCCAAATATATCTAAAGACAAAACTTTTTTTTGGGGGGGGGGGGGGGGGTTAAAACCCGCTGTAAGTTTGGTTTTATTTACTATCTGTGTCTCATTAGAGTGATTTCCCTTCACTTGTTCTGTAGACTAATCAGAGACTAGAGACTGTAGACTAAAGTGAGGGTATATCTTGCCAATGTAAGGGAGATCCACTCTTAGATAGCTGTCATGGGAACAAGTGTCCCATTGTAAGATTTTCCCTCTATGCTGGTGGCAACTAGAAATTTTGGATTTAGGATCTCCCTACTTTTATTCCTGGTGACATTCATGATCAAGACAATCAGGGATAGCAAATATCCCTAACATAATGTTCTATCACTATTTAAATATATAAAAAAAAGGTTTTGCCATTAAAGGCCACATTCAAACCTATGCAATGCGTCTTTTTTGTTAAGCGCATTTTTGTCGCATTTATCATGTGATAGTATAGGGCAGCCCATTCACACACACAACAAATGTGCCAAAATAGCTCATGTCCTTTTTTTTTATGGCTAAGCCAAGCATGTTTTGTGTTCCACATTTTGTCCCACATTTGGGGTTTCATTATGAAATAATTGCACTGCAAATGTGTTTCTTACTCAGCCACATTTTTAGCGCTTTTCTGCCAACGTTCCCTGGAACACTTAAGTACAAATGCAGCCCAAGTTGAACTTTTGTCACTTTGCTTCTCACACCTGTTCACCCCCTATGGACCAGAGCAATTTTTACTTTTCTGCTAAGGACCTGTTTACCATAACTTTGTCATGGTAATACATATATTGTTTTTAAAAACAAACAAAGATTTCTTTTTATTATATTATCTTGCAATAAGTACACATTTTATTCTGTAACTTTTCCTGTTTAAAATGACACTAAAATTACGATTCTAGTACAAAGCATTACAAAGTTATTTACAAATAAGATAAAGTGATTTTACAATTTTTTAAATACTAATAGTTAATGCAATCGAAACAAAAAATTAATCAGGAAAATAAAAGTTGAAGGGAGATGGAGAATAAGGAGTTAATTAGGGCTGATCAGAGTACACTAAGGATTAATAAGAGGTTAAACAGAAGAACATTTTATTAAAAAAGTTCATTTATTTGATCTGCAGATGAATGAAAAGAAAGATACAAAAGTAACACTATGTTATATTGTTCCTTTCTATATTCACATCTGAGCAAGTGTTATTTATAAACACTGATTCAGACTGCTTTTTTGGCCAATGAAGTTGCTGACACCTTCTCTGAGTACACAGTGATCCCGGCTTTGCTTAATCAAAGCTGACAATTACTGTATACTGGAGTCCCAGAAGCAGGGCAGAGAGACTGGACATGCTACACATGTCCTGTGTACAATGATGAAGTGTTTTTGGGCAATCTGTAGTACGTCCAAAGACTGGAACTAGTTAATTTGTAGTTTCATCAATGCTACATGCATTCTGCATTACTTTATTTCTTATTAAACATTTTTTATGGTAATGCACAAGGCCTGTGCGCCCTCTGTTTGTTCTTTCCTCATCCACTTGCTTAACCTGGTATGCCAGTGGGGCTGAGATTGTTCTCAGAGTCAACGCAGAAGAACAGAAAATCCAATGTACCAAACGGCTCATTTGGGGTAGTGCTACAGGACCTTCCCTTGCTCTTACATAACTACATTAAAAACAAGGACTGGAGTACATAATGAGTGTGTCATGTGACCACTGACTGCAATGGATGGATCCAGCAATATGAGGAGGAAGCTGGGACATGGCTAGACTTGTGCCCTCTTCTCCTTCCTTTGGTAATCGGGAACAGAAAGATATCCATGTTTGGAGGAGGAAGGAGGTGCTCCTTATGATCCTGCACTGGTTTTTAATCTGATACCTGGTAATGGAGCTTGGGTGAGTGGGCAGAGTTGTCTGTGTATGCTGCTAGTGCTCAATTGCCTGAACATTACTACTGGGCTGTCTATGGGTTTCCAATGGGCTACATGAGTATTGCCACAAATGAATGTTGTACTGCCTCTGGTCTGTACGTGTCATAGTGCTAGTCAAAACCATGCTTTTATTTCAGGGATGTATAATGGCTGCTCTGAGAGTAAAACAGGACACAGCAGGTGCTTGTTTAGCATATCACTCTTCAGAAATACGTTGATAAACCTCTCTTAAAGGCCTGTCACTATAAAAACATGTCCCTTGAAATATCAATATATTGACCACACTTCCATTTCAGCATTATGTTTATTTCAGCAGTGTACCATGTACACAACTTTTGTTTTTGCAGTGCACTGTGCATACCTCTCCTTTCCTTCCCCCAAACTAAATCTCAGGCTCGTAAGATTTTAAAAATTCCCAAGAATAACACTGAGTAATATGATGAAGCATGTGTTACATAATATGTTAAGCTCGACATCTGTGATGTCTTCTGAATATTTTCACATATATTTAAAATATCTCACTCCAGGTATATAAAAAAAAACAAGCTTCCATATAATTGAATAAACTGTAAAAAGGGTAATGTCTAGTTAAATGAGCAATCTCAATGAAAATAGGTGAATACTTTCCTTTATAATGAAAACAGCCGTTGTGGTTCCTGATTAGTGCAGCCCAAGGAGGTGAATAATACAGTCCTCATGCTGTTTCCAGCTTGCTGTGAGATCAGAATTACAATTGCACTGGACAGCTTACAAACCAGAGCAAGCAAGAATGATTTGAGAACAAAAGTACAATTTTTCCTAAGGTACAATGTTTAGCGTTTCTATTACCATCACGCCTCCAGCTGCTTTTCGTTTTGCATTTCATGCCATTATTTTGCAGCCTTAGAACCAGAACAGATCTTCAGTTTTTCAGTAGTTGAGATAATAAAGGCAATCTAAACAGAGACAAGCTGCTCCTATGTAATTTATTTGATTTACAGATATATACAGACCAATTTCTATAACCTAGTAAAGCTTTAGATGCTGTTCATAATCACATAATGTAGTTCAAAGGTTTTATGGCAGACAACTCTTTCAAAGAAAAGCATTTTAAACCAACAATCAAACCAAAAAAATCTCAAGATTGATAAGCATAAAGGAAAATCAGTGCCCCCTGTAAAACAAAAACACTTTTAAGTTCAGCAGAACATTTAAATGCAATTAACAGTGCTGGAAAATTGGCATGAAACAAAGAGCCATAGAAATTGTTCAGGTTGAATACCTAAGGAAGATAAATTGGATAACTGGAAATCATATTATGTTAAAAGAATCTTTAAAAAACACAAAATGGTTAAAGTCTAACTCCAGATATTTTTTTTCTAATATTAGGTACCATCAGTAAATTTACATTTTTGTCAGGTTTTTTTTTTTATCTGTCTGTGACCCCATTGGTCACAGTGTCCCTCGCTTTCTGTCTGTGTCCAATTAGTGAGATTTCCCTTCAATTCCTATTCTGGTAGCACAACAGGAAGGAAAAGGAAATGTTTACAAAATTTGGTAAATTTCCTCAGACAGAGAGTTGTCACTGAAACAAGTGCTCCCATTTGAAGATTTACCCTTTATAATCCTCCAAATGTTTCCTTTATTGTAACAGCATAAAAAGCAATTTGCTAATTTGTTTCTGCCTCAGAGGGCCTTAATTATAGCTAAGTTACAAAAGACACAGAACTCAATATAAAAGAAACCGCCAACTGTGGGCGGAAACAACCCTGATTGCTCACATACAATCATATAGTGAATAAAGTATTTATAAAAACATCAGAATTGACAGAAGTAACAAAATATAGGCTGCTGTCAAATAAATGATATTCCACATGATAAATATCCATAAGCAGCAACTGCAAATCACTTGAAAACTATGTTTAGGTTCCACCTCCAGCTAAGACCAAGTAGCACCCTCATGTGTAAGGTGTCATTCACACACAGCGTGCATAACTGTACACCCATGGTGAGCTGTGTTTACATGCACAAGTTTGCACAGGTGTTTTGTGCATTCCTGTGCAAGCAGTCCCATTGATGTCAATTTGGATGCAGCAGCTCTGATCTGCTTCTGGACTCGATACCACCTTTCATGGATAGGGAAAATCCGCACCATCAAAATGACAGTTCTACCAAAGCTCCCTTGCCTGTTCCGTACTCAATCCCAGTTCCATCACGCGCACTGAAATCTTTCCAGGACCATGTTTTACAATTTATTTGGTCCACAAAAAAAAACAAAAAAAAACAAAGAACACTGATCTCAAAATACACAATGTTTATGCACAAGAGACAGGGTGGACTTGGAGGCCCCAACTTTGTTAAATACTTCACAGTCGCACAAATCAGCCCATTAATCTTCTTGTAAGCTGTGCAACAGGCCCCTTTATGGGTTTGTCTGGAGATGTTCTGTTGCCTCCCTGTTTCCCCTTGCTCACTTCCCTGGATCCTATCTAAGTCCAGACCAGCTTCCATAAGTCCATAAGTAATATAAGCAGCATACTCGATATATGGGACATCACCTAATATTTCAGCATTTACCTCTCCTGCTACTTTTGGGAACTTGCAATACGCCCACTCAGCCCATAATGGTCGCACTGCTTATATATGGGTGGAAATTAGAGATAAAATGAATGTTCCATCTTCTGAACATTTACGCTTCCTGTAAATAAAAACACTGGCTTCTCACCATATTCACTAACAAAGATCTCACAAGTTAATTGTAGTACTCATAACTGCATTGCTCATATCTAACTTTCCCTCGTGTTATGATCTGTATTTTGAAATACTTTAATAAAAATTAAATGAAAGTGAAATGTTGTTACATCTGCCTGTCTTTTTTTCAATCTATTTCCTCATGCACTGCCGAAAGTTCCCTGACCTCTTGTTGACATGGATGTGTAGCCAAAAAAGTTCTGTGCAAAGCCATAGCTTTCATCAGATCTTATAATCTGCAGCAGAGGTAAGCAGCTACTTCGGAATGCCATTTATTGGTTAAAAAAATCCTCAGGTTTAATATTATTTTTTTTACTGAAAAATTGAATAGGTGTGACACATCCCTAACAGCTATTTCATAAATTTGATGACGGGACTGATAAAAAATTAAATGTGTTATAACTGCTTAAAGGAATAAGGGGCCTATTTTTCACACAACTTTTTGGATTTTTGGATTCAGTTTGAAAATTGTGTTACTCCTTGGTGAAAGTTATGTGAATCTTCTGATGAAACATTTATAAATTGACTCCTAAAAGTGTGTAAAAGCACAGGTCAGCAAAGATTGATTGATTTGTCTAGAGGATCATTCTTGGGCTGACAACAACAATTACTGCAAAGGAGACCTGGGGCACTAAGTAAAAGCAGGGCATGTGCCCTCGGTGTCACGGTCTAGCAACACCCCTGCTCGCAAGGGTAATGTTATATTTGTGAAAATTAAGAGTGGTTAGTATATGTACAACACAAAAAAATATTTAAGAGTGTACTTCATTCATTTTATAAAATATTTTAGAGTATTCATCCATATAAAGAAATTGTCAACTTACAGTTTTCTTCAACATTTTGACAGCATAAGGCTTTTGGGTTCCTTTTTGCCTGCATCTGTATACAACAGAGGTTGCTCCCCTAGAAGAGAAAGTTGTCAACTGTTATTGTTGAATGTTGTCGTATTATGTATATGCCAAACACAACATTTCAATGAAAGAACATTTTAATAGCATGATACTGTTATTTTTATTAAGGTTTAGGTGGACACAGTGTAGGACTTACAGTGAACCTCACCAGCTACTGTATGCATAGTGCTGGTAGAAGTAAAGTGCTGCATAGGACACACGGAACCACCTTTATTCGTTAGCAGTTGTAGTTACCGCGCAACTGTCACAGCTAATTGTAAGCCCAATAGCCTGTGTAGCAGGTGATATTCAAATATTGCAATGTCTACAATTATGAAACAGTAGCAATCATTTCAGTTTATGCAGCAACATGACTGACATCAATGTAACATGGATCAACTTATTACAGTAAAGAAATGTAAAGAATTATTATCAAAGGCCTACTCCCCCATCTATGCTGTTTAGTAGTGAGTGATTTTCTATTTGTCTCTCCAGTTTATTGGTCAAAATTCAAGATGCATATGACCATAATGATCTATTCTAAAGGATATTGTGTTTAAAGGGTTGGGTTAGTTCACATTTACCAAAAAACTGCCTATGCAGATAAGGGGACCCATATGGAAGAAAAATATATTTGAAATATATTTTTTAAATACTCTTCCCAAATATATTGACAAATATTTGAAATGCTACAATTTTGGCTGTATTCAAGATATTTCAAACTATATTTAAAAAAAAAAAAATATATATATATATATATATAATTAATATTATTATTATTATGCAGGATGTATATAGCGCCAACAGTTTGCGCAGCGCTTTACAATATAAGGGAGACAGTACAATTACAATACATTTCAGTACAGAAGGAATAGGAGGGCCCTGCTCGTGGAGCTTACAATCTAAAGGGATATATATATATTGCATGTTGAAATGCGTTTTTATTACAAAATATGTGAAAAATATTTTTAAAAATAAATGTCAAATATACAAAAATGCATTTCAGTGTGTGTATATATATATATATATATATATATATATACATACAGTTGCAAGAAAAAGTATGTGAACCCCTTGGGATTACGTGGAGTTTTGCATGAATTGGGCATAAAATGTGCTATGAACGTCATCTAAGTCACAAGAATAGAAGAACACAGTCTGCTGAACATAATACTACACAAACATTAGATGTTGCCATGGTTTAATTGCACATAACATGTAAACATTCACAGTGCAGGGAGGAAAAAGTATGTGAGGCCCTAGCTTAATGACTTCTCCCAGAGCTAATTGGAGCCAGGAGTGAGCCAACCTTGACTCCAATCAGTGTGATGATATTGGATGTGTTGCTGACAGCTGTCCTGCCCTTAAAAAACACACACCTGTTTTGGGTTTACTGGTTTCAAGAAGCACTGTCTGATGTGAACCATGCCTCACAGAAAAGAGCTCTCAGAAGACCTACGATCAAGAATTGTTGACTTGCATGAAGCTGGAAAGGGTTACAAAAGTATTTCCTAAAGCCTTGATGTTCATGTGTCCATGGTAAGACAGACTGTCTACAAATGGAGAAAGTTTAGCACTGTTGCTACTCTCCCTAGGCGTGGTCGTCCTGTAAAAATGACTGCAAGAGCACAGCGCAGAATGCTGCATGAGGTAAAGAAGAATCCCAGAGTGTCAGCTAAAGACCTACAGAAATCTCTGGCACATGCTAACATTTTTGTTGACACATCTACAATAAGGAAAACATTAAACAAGAATGGAGTACATGGGAGGACACCACTGAGGAAGCCATTGCTGTCCAAAAAGAATATTGCAGCACGTTTGAAGTTTGCAAAAGAGCACCTGGATGTTCCACAGTACTACTGGCAAAATATACTGTGGACAGATGAAACCAAGATTGAGTTGTTTGGGAAGAACACACAACACTATGTGTGGAGAAAAAAAGGCACAGCACACCAACATCAAAACCTCATCCCCACTGTGAAACATGGCGGAGGGAGCATCATGGTTTGGGGCTGCTTTGCTGCCTCAGGGCCTGGATGGATTGTTGTCATTGATGGGAAAATGAATTCCAGAGTTTATCAAGACATTTTGCAGGAAAACGTATGACCATCTGTCTGCCAACTGAAGCTCTGCAGAGGATGGGTGATTCAACAGGACAATGACCCAAAGCATACAAGTAATTCAACAAAACAATGGCTGCAACAGCACAGAATTTGCCTTCTGGAGTGGCCCAGTCAGAGTCCTGACCTCAACCCCATTGAAATGCTGTGGCATGACCTTAAGAGAGCGATTCACACCAGACATCCCAAGAATATTGCTACACTGAAACAGTTTTGTGAAGAGGAGTGGTCCAAAATGACTCCAGATCGTTGTGCAGGTCTGATCTGCAACTACAGGAAACGTTTGGTTGAGGTTATTGCTGCCAAAGGAGGGTCAACCAGTTATTAAGTGCAAAGGTTCACATACTTTTTCCTCCCTGCACTGTGAATGTTTACATGTTATGTGCAATTAAACCATGGCAACATCTAATGTCTGTGTAGTATTATGTTCAGCAGACTGTGTTCTTCTATTGTTGTGACTTAGATGACGTTCAGAGCACATTTTATGCCCAATTCATGCAAAACTGTCAGGAATGGACTGGCCAGCAATGGTGGGACTCACCTGCCTTTTGATCTGCAGTACCAGGGCTGGCCAGCGGGTGCTCCCAGCAATCAGAGACTCAACCTTTCAGCCAGCTAACACCTGGAACTGATGATACTGGTGTATTTAAGGGATGGCCAGACTTGCAGACTCTGCCTTGGTGTTGTGTTTGTCCTGGGCCCTGTATCTGTCCTGCATCCTGTTTCTGTTCCTTTGCTACCTGTTCTGATCCCTGGCTTGTGACCCTGACCATCCCTCTGCCTGACCCTCTGTACTACGCTGCTTGCTACCTGCTGAACCTGGCCTGTGACCCCCGACCATTCTCCGATTGCTCCCCCTGTACCTACCTGCCCAATTGATATTGACTCGGCCTGCCTGACGACGCTTGCTTGTTTGTACTGTTATCTGTGGGTGGTTGGTTGGGTTTGTTTGCACTGTATTATGTTTAGTATTGCACTGCGTTTATGTTTGTATTGTTAGTGTATTTATAAATTACATTGTTTATAACATATCTGAGGTCTGCGTTTCCCTGCTTCAGTCACACATCTCTGGTCATACCTGGGAGCCCTGACAAAAACTCTACATAATCCCGAGGGGTTCACATGCTTTTTCTTGCAACTGTATATATATATATACTGCAGGTTGAAATGCGTTTCTATTACAAAATATATGAAAAATATTTTTAAAAATACATTTCAAATATACTGTATGTCTTTAAAAATACAAATCTACATTTTTGGAATGCATTTACAAATATATGTAAAAATATATGTTAAAATGACTTTTTTATATGTAAAAAAAAATCTGAAAAATATATATTTAAAAAATATATATTTTTAATGATATTTTGTAATATATAAAATTATATATATATATATATATATATATATATATATATAATATATATTGGAATATATTGAATATGGCCAAATCTGTAGCATTTCAAATATATGTCAATATATTTGGGAAGAATATTTTTTAAATATATTTCAAATATATTTTCCTTCCATGTGGGGAATCTGTATGTAAAAACGAACAGTGCAGCTTTGAATAAAGTTGAATATTGCCCTTACTATAGGTGTAAACCATTTATGTACTGCATGAAGGACGTTGCTAAGAGAGACCCAGCTGTTACTGTTCACCTACACCATCACAGGAGCGAGCTCTCAAACTTTGAGCTGAAAGCTACTGACTCACGGAGAAGAAAGTGAATGTAAGGGGGTTTGAATCAGAAAAAGAGTTTGCTTCTGTAATGGTGAACAGTAATAGCTGGGCCTCGCTTAGCAATATCCTAGCAATGTCCAGGGAGTTTTCAGGGCAGGCTTCATGAGGAACGTAAATGGCCTACACCTATTATCATGGGCATTCGTTTTAGGCAAAGCTGCACAGCTTGTTTTCATCTACAGACACCCCTTATCTGCATAGGCAGTTTTTTGGTAAAGATGAACTAACCCTTTACATTGGTCCATATTACAGTATAAGAAGTTTAATAAACTAATATACGTGCAGAGGAACATTACTAATCAGGAATAAGTTCCAATGGTTCCCTTTAAACTTAAAAATACTGAAGATTCACTATCCTAAAGTAAATTTTACCAGTTGTTTTTTGTTGAACCTAGGAAATACAGTCATCTGACACCGACAAGAGGGGATGTTTTTTATTCAAGTCAAATACACTCTAAAAAAAAACATCTTAAGAGCTCTTTCAGTGTGGAGGTGCATTTTATAAAGGTCCTCTGTGCCTTAGATGCACACATTCATCTCGTTTTTGTCACTAATTGAACCATTTACTTAACAATACTAAAGTCATTTCCTCTATGACATTTAGCAAATTTCTACCTTGAAGACTGAATACATTCATTTCACTTGAAAGATAAAGATGGGCCACTTTTACTTTCACCCTAAAATATACTTGGCTTTGTAGGCTAAGGATATTTTTTTGCTGTCAACACGCCATGGAGCAGCACATAAGACTGTGCAATGCATTAATCTGCATTGTACAAGAAGTACAAGTACTTGAATTTTGGTCAATTTATTTTGTAAGAAATGAAAAGTAAACTGATAAAAATGGATTTAAAGCAGTATTAAACCAATAAAACAAAAAAGTAATATATTGCAGCTTCTGTAATATATTACGGTTGCAAAACGTAATGGCTGCATTCGTTTCATTTGTTTACTTGGATAGTGCCGTATTTAGTAATATAAATTTTGCATATAGTAGAGTTAGGTATGACATCACTGAAAACGATGGGTCTTCAATGTCTTATGACTTATCTGCCACAAATTAACATATTTTCCAAACGTTTGCAGAAGTGAGTGCTGACATGTTACTGATATTATAAAGGGTGTTTATTATAACTGTTGCATTAATAAA